TAGAGCCATCTGATTCTTGGTTGACCAAAGGGTTGCACTTATTTGCACTGTTTAAGTTTATATTATGGAGTGAGAACAGTATGCACACACTTGACCTGCACTTCTGTCTCTCTTCCTCCGCTCATTGAACAAATACCCTGGACACTCTGATTTAAAAAAAGTCCTTTGACATTGTTGCTCAAAGAAATTCTTCATTCAGATAATGAACACAAACACCAGCCACCTTGGTACTGATTTCTTTTCCCTGGTTATTTTTCACCCTCAGTTTGTTTCCAATTTCCATGTCATCTCTTCATTCCCTTATTACAGGTCACATTTCGCTACCTACTTTTCCATTGATAACTCCCACAACCAAAAATGATCAAACACAACTTTCCCCCCCACCCCAGTATGAAGCAAGATTGAATCAATTTGTGGGGCAGACTCAGGTAGCTTTTGATCAGCATTTTTCAAACTTGCAACCTCGGTCACCCAGAAGAGCAAAGGCTGCAGGTATCAGGGAACGCCAACGTTTGCAAGTTCCCTCAGAATCATACAACTATCCTGAATTGGAATGTATTAACATTCCTTCATCTTCACTATGTCAAAATCCTAGATTCCCTTTCTATCTAACAGCACTGTGTGAGAACCCTAACTGCACAGATTGTAATAGGTCAAAAACAAAGGCCCACATCTCTGACTTAAGGAAATCTTGGCTTGGAAAGTACTCTATCCCAAAATAAATTTTAAAAATCACATTAGCTGGAACACTTGCAAAGAACTGCACAACCCCATCCTTTGAACAAATGCCCTTCTCTTTACTTCTTTAAGCTGTTACTTCCCTGAGGTTTTCTTTTATAGAACTGCCAGATGCAAAGTGTTGCCATAAGACAAAAAAATTTACTCCACCTAATGTGGCTTATGTGCAGAATTTTCCCATGCACTGGTAATAAAAGTTTGTTCCTTCTTCAGGCAGGAGAAAGAGTTAAATATGATGCTGCTACGGAAGGTTGAAGTATCATTTTAAAGACTTCCACATGTACTAAATTTACAGACAGAAGTTAACAATAATGGTTTACCAGCAAAGATGATGGTGTAGCAGAATACAGCTACTGCTCAAACTGTAATTGGGAACTAAATCACCCTTACTGGAGGATAGTCATAAAAAAGATAATGGGAAATAGCAAAGTAGCACATAACAGACCAAACTGGCAGTATGAGCCTTTGGTTTAGTGGTAGCATTCCCACATCCAAGTCAGAAGGTGAGAGATTCAAATATGTCCAGATAACTCCATCAAAGGACAACTGCTCCCAATGGATAAAGGTCATTCTCCTTACATGGCGAAAGGAGATGAGGGTTATTAAAGCCTATCTAGGTTAAGATGCAGTCTGTGAGGAAGGCAACAGCAAATCACTTCAGTTCCTTTCCCCTAGTTACTGGCTCAAGAATTTCATGACTGACGATTGAGTTGTGACCTGCCCAAGGGACAAAATTCAATGGATGAACAGAGCTGAGCCAAAACTGTGCTGCACAGATATTCTCTCCACCGAGTGCTCATTTGAGGCACTGCTGTATTACTTTATATTTAAATCCCCACGAGCAAAAATTAGATAGGAGGAGCAAGAACTACATATTCAAGATATGAACTGTTAGTTTGTCCACAGTTATGAAGTTGTAAACTCATACAGAGATTTGACAAAAACAGAACTCAGCAAGTGTTCCATTGTCATGCCTGTCGGTGACAGATGTTAGGAATGTTAGACAGATCCCATTAAGTATTTTCTAAATATTTGCTTAATAGTTTCACTCCTGTTATAGGAGGCTCTGGTTTTACCCCATTCAGTGTGTGATATTTAGCTTTGGGCACCACACAATGAAGTTGATAATGGATAAGTGCAGCACAGATTCACCAGAATAATAACACACAAAGTATAGATATCTTGTGCGAAGACATGCTTCCTGAAATTATACCTGAATTGTCTAACTTTATTTTTCAGATTATGCACCCTCCCCTACGTCCTTCTCCAACCAAAAGAAACAGGTTTCACCTGTCAAATTCTTTAGGCACATTAAACACCCTCGATCATATCACTCTTTCATCTTTTATACTCAGGGAATAATAGCCTAACATCTACATTTGGTCCCCCTAATTTAATCGTTGTAGCCCTTTTATTTTGTTGATTCATATAACAAGGGCAACGCTGGCTAGGCAGCATTTATTCCCCATTCCTAATGGCCCAGAGGGCAGTTAAGAGTCAATCACATGTAGGCCTGGAGTCACATGTAGGCCAGATAGAGAAGGATGGCAGTTTCCTTCCCTAAAGATTGGGTTTTTTCCAGCAATCGCCAATGTATTCATGGTCATCATTAGATTCTTTATTCTAGATTTGTTTTGTTGAACTCAAATTCAATAATGAGGGATTCAAACCTGGGTCCACAGAACATTATCTGGGTCTCTGGATTAACAGTCCAGCGATATTACCACTAGGCCATCACCTCCATGCTTAGGTATAGTTAATCCTAAATCATCCTTAATTATCCAGACTTCAACTCCTTCCTGGTCAAGTTGTTAAGCTCTGTTTACTGAAGTTGCTGTGTGAATCTGCGTACTACACAGACTACACTTGTAAGGAGGGCTGCAGCTGAATCATGTCTCCAATTCTCCCAGTACTAGCGGTGACCAAGATTCCACGCTGGAAACTTGTCATCACGAAACTCTTAAGGTGGGATTTGACACAGGTGACAGGTTCTCACCTACCAGTTGGAGAGCTAGTGAAACAGACTGGAAGAGGTTTAAAGTGTCTGAAAGTGCTTGTTTGCACAAACTGAATAGCTATTTTATGGTAGTAACCTACTTAGAACAAATACAGCAGTAACTAAAGCATCTCTGTTTTCAGTTCTACACTCTTTCAGTAAATTGCAAAATCATTAAATTAATTGGCATGGTGACTTACAAGGTGACAGCATGTTGCATTTTGGGTCAGGAATATAGCGTTGGGTTCAAGTGAGGGCCCTGACCCCACACCAGGTTTAGGCACCTAATAGTGGTTTTCCCTGAATTAGCCATATAATGGCCAGGGGTATGCTCCCAGTTAAGGATAATGGAGAACTCTTAAAACTGGAGAGGCAGTTGGAGGCCTTCCATCATGGAAGGAACTGCAACCTGATCTTGAAGGTAAGGATGCTGAGAGAGGGTGTTGTCATCTTGAGTTGCCCTCTCAGTGACTTTGAAAATGTTGATGATAATACATAATCACAACTGTTGGGTCACCATTATTCAGGGGAATAGAGGAATAATTTCCAAAGTGTATTTTGCAGTTTTAGCTTTGGACAGGTAGAAAGGAAGTTATCAAAGGAATCCTGGAGCTCTGATCCTCTTGGAGTTGATCTCTTGGAGTCTGCCTCTTAAGTTACTGCCAATTTTTTTTTGGTGCCTTGAAGTCACAGTGTTTTCCAGTCCAATTGGCCTTTAAATTATCCAAACAAACTACCTGCTGCTTGCAGGTTGGTATCCATTCCACATCTGAACTGACTTAGACTAAAAGGCTTGGAAATGGAATGGCTTTTGTAAACTGCCAACAGCTGACTCAAAATTATCTGCCATTCTGATCCCATTCTTGTCCTCATATTGGAGTCAAAATCTGGCCCATGGAGCATGTACTTCCTCTTAACTCTCCATTTTTTCCCGAAACAACTGTATCTTGTGGCTGCAGAACAGAAAAGGTGGTTTTATAAAGCACTTCCACGGGGATCTATTAACTAATAAGAAAAACTAGGGGTCAATTGGTGTCATTATTTAAAAGCTATGTTAAGGATAAATAGCATCTCCTTTTTCAAGGTGTGCTTCTTCCTCAAAGTAAAATTTGTTGTGACCAAAATATCTGCACTACCATCTGATATTTCCACTCCAATCTTATTTCCCTCCTATTTACCTAGATGGTAGCCCTATCCTAATTACTTTAGCAGACTCCATGCGAACACCTTTCTGAGCGAGTGCCCTGTAGTAAACCAAAATAGAACCGATGGAATATCTTTGAAAAAGATTAGAGAAATTTGTTATGGTTCCGTAAAGAAGCCCTCTCTCTAATTGCACAAAAAAATTCATGAATTCATGTCTTACTCCAGCATTGAGTCTGATATTTTAGCAGACTGAAAACCAAAGGGAATGCTGCATTGTCAGAGGTGCTGCCTTGTGGATGATCTTAATACCATGTCTGCTTGCTGAGGGAAACATTAAAAGATAGAGCAAAGAAAGATGGGAACAGGAGTTAGCCCTTTGAATGTGCTCAGCATTTAATATGATTCTGCCTGATCATCCAACTCAGTATCCTTTTCCTGCTTTTGCTGGGCATCTGATCTTCAGTCCGTTAAATTGAATACGTGTCTTTGTTTGCAAATCAATTCATAGCCTTCTTTGCACAACCTTGTAGATTTCATCTGGTCTTAATCCCAACCTATGCTCTATATTCCACCATTCATAGGTTCAAGTGTATCTCCTGTCACTTAGTGATGGAGTTGTTCTGACTTCACTTTTACTTTTCAAAAAGCACAAATGCCATGTCTGGCATTTCAACCAACTCTCTCAAAACTGTCAAATTCTCAGTAGGTTTGGCAGCGTTTGCAGATGGTGTCTCAGATGGATGATCTTGTACCAGAACTCTTTGGAAAATGAGTTGTTTCTCTAAATGTAGATCTGCGTGATGTACTGTGCATTTTCAGTTTCTGGAGTATTTTGTTCCTGTCTTCTGAAACCTTCATTGATCCATGATACTCTGAAGACATGCAGGAAAGTTCTCCTCATGTTTCACAAAATAAATCTCTTAGTTAACATAATATCACAATCAAAACAAATTACCTGGCCATTTATTACTGTTTAGATAACTTTGCTATGTAAACATTGGTGATCATGTTTGTTGTCAATTGTAACATTAACTATACTTAAGAAAGGAATTTACTATTTGTAAAATATTTTGGAATTGGTACAGTTAGCTATCTAAACAAATCTATCTTTTCCCAAAAGGTATTTCAACATGATTCAAACAGAAGAAAAGATCAAAAACTTGATAAAAGAACAGAAATGCTGTGCTGTTCTGGCAGACTCAAGCAAAGATAGTCAAAAGGCTAAAGAATTGGTACACCAAATTCAGCAAGAGGTGTGCATACAAAGATTGCATGTTTGTAATCCTATTATAAAAAGTTACGAAGAGAATAATGAAGTCTGGTTAGAAATTATACATATATTTTCACATCAATAGCATGAAAAGTGGTGCACAATTAGTCAGGGATCATTTCAGCGGTTCTATATCGATTTTTGCATTTCTCTGTTTTGGTTCATTTTACAAAATAATGGAATGACATTCTGTGCCTTGTATGATGTTAGAAAAAGTTAATAATTTTTGATGTTTTTATCACTCTGGAATCTATGATAATTTTCCATGAATAGGGTAGGACTTATATTAATTAATTCAAGGGTATGTGGGTGTGACTGACTAGACCAACATTTATTACCAATTCCTAATTGTCCTGTACAAGATGTGGTATGGTGTGGTGTGCTGTCTTGAATTGCTTCAGTCCTTTGACTACTGTTTCTCAAGGAGCTCCAGAATTTTGACACTTTAGATAGAAAAGGAACGGCAATGTAGATCCAATCCAGGATGGTGTATGAGTGACTTGTAGGTGGTGGTGTTCCCCTGCATCTGCTGTCCTTGCCCTTCTAGGTTGTAGAAGTTACAGATTTGGAAAATACTGTTGAAGGAACCTTGGTGATTTGCTGCAATGTATCTCGTAGATGGTACATACTGACACCACAATGTGTTAGTTCAAGGTGGTGGATGGTGTTCCAGTGAAGTGACCTGCATTGTCTTGCATGGTGTAAAGCTTCTTGAACAGGATTTGTGGAATCAGAAGGTGAGTTACCCACCACCGAGTTCCTAATTTATGACCTATTCTTGTCACTGAAATATGTATATGGTGAGTTCAGTTCAGTTTCTGGTCAATAGCAGCTGCCAGGATGTTGATAGAGGAGTATGCAGCAATTCAAATGCTATTTGAAGGTTGAGCGATGCTGGTTAGATTCTCTCTTGTTGGACATGGCTATTGCCTGGCACATATGTGGCGCAAATGTTACTTGCCACTCATGATCCCAAGCCTGGATGTTGCCCAGGAGTTGCTGCGTATGGACATGCCTGGTTCATTTTCTTATATATGAATTGCCTTAAAATGTATTTTGAGTGCAAGCTTGCCAAAAATGGTTAATATTTTCTAGCAGCGCCATGGTAACTTGTTCATCCAATGTCCCTGAGGAATTTAAGTGCAGGCTGTGTCATTGTTTTAAAGAGTTTCTAAACAGGATGTCATTCAGTAGCAATATCTGCTAATTCAGGAGTTGCCTAAAAAGCAAGTTTGTGTTGACAAATCTGTTTGACCTCTGCTAGTCATTGAAGAGAGACTTGCAATAATCAATGCACACTAGAAATCATGATAATAGTGGAAATATTGTAGGACAGCATGTGAACAGCATTGTACTGATTTTATCAAGTGAATTTCATCATTTTCCTATATCTTTTAGTCTACCATGGGTTAAAACAGTTAACAAATTGTTAGGTAGATTGCCCTGTAGTGTGCAGGCTAGGTTATTTAGCCATGGTAAATGTGGGATTATGGGGATGTGGTGGGTCTGTGTGGAATGCTCTTCAAAGGGTCGTTGCAGACTCAATGGGCCGAATGGCCTCTACCTGCACTGCAGAGATTCTATTAAAAAGAAAGGGTGGTGCAGTGGATAGCACTGCTGCCTCACATATCCAGGGACCTGGGTTTGATTCCAAATAAAAACTGAAAGAACTGTGGATGCTGTAAATCAGGAACAAAAGCAGAAGTTGCTGGAAAGGCTCAGCCGGTCTGGCAGCATCTGTGAAGAAAAAAATCAGAGTTAATGTTTCGGGTCCGGTGACCTTTC